CGGGGGCCTCGGCGGCGTGCCTCGGTCGCTGCTTGCGCAGGATGGAATGAGGGCCCAGTCGTACGGTGAAACGGGCAATGTGACTCCGGGAGTCGTCTTTCCTAACCGACTCAATCGTCTCGGCGAAACCGTCGGCACCGCCGCATATGATTTCAAGTACAGGCTTGCCTGTGACTTCCTTGGGCAGTGAGCCAATGACGTCGGTCCACGAGGGGCTGACATAGCGGATCTTGCCCTCGAGGTCCAGGTCCATGATGATGTTCAGACTGTGCTCGGCGGCCTCCTTGAGGTCTGCACGCTCGTTGCGCATGTCCTGACTAACGCTGCGCTCCATGTTCTGTCGGTGGCCGCTGGTGCCGACAGCCTCCTGCTTGAGGGCAGTGACTGCGGGCGGGGCCAGCGTCGGGGGTTTCTTCTCGTCGGCCATGGCTGCGGTGGGTGGTGCTATCGTCGCGGGAGCCCGTCGCCGGGGGGGATTGGGCGGGTGCCCGAGGGCTGGCGGGTGCTGAGCTATGCGCAGAGAGCTGCCAGGACCATGGTGGGAAAAAAGCGACGGTCCGGGAGAGTCGGGCGTGCAGCTGGGGAAGGTACGCGTTGACGAGCAGTGCGGTAGTGCTTGCTGACTGCAACGAGAGTGGGTCTCGAAACCGGGATGAGGGGACTAGACGAGCTGCATGGTAGTGCGAGCGTGGTCGAGGGCGAGGGGAGCAATTGGGCGATGTAATGAGCGTCGCGGGCTGGGGATGGATGAGGGCGGTGGGCAGCAGGCGGCGGCCGTGGCAGTCGTCGCCGTCGTGGTGGTGGACGGGGCGAGAGGGGTACACAATGGGCGTCGTCTCAGCCGGCAGCACAAGGCGTCGGCAGAAAGGCGTTGACAAAAAAGAAAGCACGCCAGGCGGGCGGATGAGCAGCTGCACGCATGGGATGGGCCTCGTCGGCACGCTATCCAGCTGGCAAAAGTCCCCACGCAGCACCCAAGCACGCGTCGAGAGAAAGTCACACGCAAAACAGCCGTGCACTGGTGCGCGCGGAGCTAAAGGGTATGCATGATGCTGGTGTAGGGAGGGTGCATTCACTGGCCCGAGCGCCTGACCGCGACGGCACATCCTGGCCGCCAACACAACGGCAGAACCTCTCGCGGGCTTGTCCAACAACACGGCCACAGTGCTGCGGCATTGGCAATCAATCGCGAATCAATCGAGACGGCCGTTGGCCTGTCGACAAGGCGGGGTACATCACGGCAGCAGTCCTCCCTCGCTGCTCCCATTGTCATGACCTGCCGCAGACTCCTCTCTACTGACCGCTTCGCTGCATGCTCCCGGTAATCCCTGGACGAGTGCAGGCCGTTGTGCTATTTGCTCGCCCATGTCTTTGGTCAGCTTGGGCAACACGAGACGAACCACGGGCAGCGCACTCCCAGACAGCCTGCGCGCACCTAAACACTATTCTGCAAAACAGCGCTTGTGTGTAATCAGCCCTTAGTGATCGCCAGCCCCTCCCCAGGGCCGGCTACGACAAAGCCAGTGGACGACTAATCCCGTCGGACAATAACATCGAACGGCTGTGCAGCATCGCGAACGCATGTTCACGCCATCATCAGCCGAGCACCATCGCCGCTGCCCCCTCGACAAGACGGCCCAACGTTGCACGACTGCCCTCGTTATTGCGCGCGACAACAGACGAGCCCCTCGCCAGGACCTGCAGCGTCGCCGTGGATACACCACCTGGGGAGACGTGCAGATCGCTCCTGCCCGCCCAATCACACCCTCGTCGCATGCACCTCTGCTCCTTCCCCGTCTTGCCTGGATGCGGCCCAGGCCCGCTACGTCTGCAACTAAGCCCCTCCTGTCGGCGGTCATATAGACGTACACACGGCGGAGCGAACAGCTTGCTATTCCCGCTCCGTACACTTCCTATTCGACCTTCGCCTGGTGAACCACGTCCAGACCTCGACGTTGGATGCATCCAGGCAACTACCTGGGTTTGAGTGCCGCATCACACCCTCACAACACTAGCTCTGCGCTACTGACAATCGCCACCTGGACCACGACGTGCATCGAGTCTGGAGTAATAGAATGGGTTTTGTTGACACAGCACTGCTGCTACATGCTACGGCACCTCCCTATTCACTGACGCCGAATAACGAAGATGACGCCCGTGGACGATTGAGTCTGTCACGTGCTCTTCCGAACGTCCGTGAACTCGTGCTTCCAACTCCAGTTGGCAACACTACCATGCTCTAATCGAAGTACACTGCCTCGGGCTTGTGTACACAAATCTTCCCCGATGCGTCACTCTTCAACACCACCCTGGGATCCTCTTTGCTTGCCTTGACCTTCTTGCCGTCGACCTGCTTTTCTTCATACAGAACCTCCACAACCTCGCCGTCAACGTAGCCGGGGAGCGAATGCCATTGAACTTTCTGGCCCTTCTTCGGCACACGGGTTATGTCGCCGGCAGCTGCAATAGGCTTATCGTGCTTGTTGACTGTGCTCTTCTGTCTCTTGTTGGCACTGGGAGCCTCTATGTTTGCGCCACGTCCTCGCTTTTGACCTGGATGATCGTCCTGCGGGGGACTCTTGGATTTCCGGCTGCTCTCCAAGAACTTCTGGTATGCCCGTTGATCCTCCTCCATGTGGTCCGGGTCGTCCCATTGTGTCGTGCAGTCCGTCTTGCTCTTCTTCTCGATCTTGGTAAAGCCACTCTTCTCGCCGTCTTTGGTCGCGTCTTTCTTCGCTTGTGCAGCCTTGGATGTGTTTGCCACATGTTGCTTGCCCTCTTTGCCTCCCTCCTGCTTCTTGGCATCTGTCTCCTCCTTCTCCTTCTCATTCATCTCCTCCCATGCCTTCTTCGGCAGGTAGCGGTGTTCCAAGCCGTTCTTATCTTTTGCGCCTCCGCTGCCGTCCTTTGTCTGCCACTCTTCTTCCGTCCACTCATCCAGATGCTTCGCTTTCTCGTCCCTCTTGTCTGTGGTATATCCTCCACCGCGTTTCTTGTACTCGGATGCCATCATCTGTGCCTGCAATTGTCTATGTCAGTGGTGCAAAGGACACTCGCACTAGTGGAGCCTACCTTTCTGGCTGACCATTGGCCAGGCTCACCTCCCTTGTCACCAGCTTGGATCTCCTCCTTCACTTCATCACGCAGTTGCGGATCCGTGTATTTGTCGTCGGTCTTGGAAGGCATTTTTGATGAAACTGAACGAAGAGCAAGTCTGAGAGGAGTCGTAGTCACACGAGGTGCGCGATATGCAGTAACAAGCAAAAACGGTCGGGGGAGAAGCGTGCGATACATTCCAGAAGAATAAGCGTCCAGCAAACAATCTTTGTACTACCCCGGATTGCTCTTTCCACTGACGTGCAGGTACCTGCGCAAGCCCCGACCGCTCTCATCTTAAACAGCCAGCCACCCTGAATCACCTACATCATGAAGTCTTCACGATTCCGTATGGCGGCCAGAGCACCTTGGAAGCTGGTAGAGCACGTCTCGTTCCTCTCAAACGCGCGCCGGGATGACATCAATGACCTCTCGATAGACCGATTCGGGTTGGTGTAAGCGCTCGGACCTGATCGTGCGCTGAGATCGAGGAGAAGCCAGCTAGCGTGCGTCTGCCAGATCACCTACGTCTATGCCTTCTAGACTACCTAGGAAAGGGCGACCCAACATTTGTGCGCAGGCTGCTGCTTTTCCCAGCCACCCTTCTCATTTCCTTGCTTTGACGGGAAGTTGCTCGTGCGTCAACTGTCGGATGCAAAAAGCTCCTTGAGCCATGTCTGTCCCAAGCCGATATGGGCCGGTCCGTAAGTAGCGTGCTACCGGCGTATGCTATAGCACAAGTGCAGCCACCGCCCGGCAGATGTTGCACATTCTCTTAGACCCGCCCGTGCGAGCAATTCTCGATTCCCATGATCGTGAGTCTGGTAGGTAAAGGCTCTGAAGCCGTGATCAGTGCGACTCTCAAAGGTATTATCGCGATACCGATGCCGATGGCCCCTCTCGCAGCGAGGCCACACAAATAAGCAAAGTACTTGCCGCAGAATTCGCAGGGCATTATCGCAAACCATCATCGTTCGTTCTACAATGACTCCATCTGGAATCTCTTCATTAGAGGTGTAACATGACAGTACCTTTTGTAAAAATGACGGTCGCATCTCACCGGGAAATGGAGGACACGTCAGCGAAACCCTACACAATGAGACAATGCTGCCGTCATCTTCCAGAGCCATTGAGGGCGCATGGGAGAGTGTTCGTCTTATACCACGGCCTTTGTCGCCGTGCTGGAAGAGGTCACTACGTTCCGAGCAGCCGACGTCTTATATCTCAGTGACTGGTGCGAGAACAAGTCAAATCATTTTCGATTTTGCGACTTTTCCGATTGGCTCACATCTTTCGATGCAATGAATGTGGGCTGGCTAATGTACGTTTTAGTAGAAGTACGGTACACACTACCTTAGCAAGAGCTGTAGGTACCCCTCCATCATGGCATTCTGGGCGCGCCTTGACTGGATCCAAAGGTGCAAGAGGATCGACCGTCGTTCCGTTCATCGGATTCATCTAGATGTGATGGAGAGGCTAAAATACCAATGAAGTCACAGCGACGCCTTTCTTCCATGCGGCTTCTGATGGCTTCCATATGCCTACTAGAATCCACATCTTCTACACTCGATGAAGGCTTCCGGTCGTGTCCTAGGGCACACTACAACATGCCGGCGTCCTTTCGGCCATGAGGTAGGAGTATCTAGGCCCGAGAAGGAGCGCCTGACTTACCTCAACAGGTGTCTACGGAAAAGGTCCGCCAAATACTGAACACTACTACAATTCGTGCATGACGCAACGCGACCAGTGTGACATAATGGCAGTCGACGATGCCATATAAAACCGTGAGCATGATATCACAGGAATAAAAACATACTGATTTCATTCCACTATCTTCACCTCCAGACTTGAAAATGCACCTCACCCCATTCCTCTTCGTGGCATCCGCCACAGCCCTTCCCGCCATGTTCCGCTCCCGAGCAGCTCTTGCAGATGTCCTCCTGCCCGAAATCTCCCTCCCAATCGACTACTCTTTCGGCGTGCGGGTACCAACATCTTCCAACCCATCATCATCCAACCCTCTAGCACTTCTTGTGAACGGTTACACAGTCAAGATCCCACTCATCGCCAGTTCAGGCACTCTCGTCTCCTGGATAGCCAACTACGCCGACGGAAAGGCATACAACACACAGTTCACTTCCATCAATCCCTCGGCGCCTAGGAACATCACCACAGACTCCGATTCCACGTCACAGCAAGGTGGAAACAGCGTCTCAAACGCAACAGCATTAGCAGATGGCCGACAAGCTCGCGTGATCACGACATCTTTCTCCTCAGGCAACGCCGCATCCGCCGCAGCTGCCGCCCTCGATGGCACAAACTCCGATTCCACGTCCTCATCCGGCGCCGCAAACAGCACAGCAGTAGCTACAACCAATGCCTTAGGCGAAGTCTTCATCTTCACCTCCGCCAACACCGCCAACGCCCTAAACTCGCAATCTATCAAGAACGCCAAAGGCGCCGAAGCAGCATCCTCCTGCGCCGCTGACTCCGGGCCTGCTGCGTCCGCACAAGCAGAGCAGGTCAACAGCCTCTACATTCCCATTGGTACTTCTGCAGACGGCAAGGAAACGCAATGGCTGAAGAGCTCGGCTTATGCGGCGTGTGCGGCGGGTGTTGATTCGCCGAATCAGGGAGGTAGTTCGAGTTCGGGGAGTCAGTCTAGTTTGACGGGGGTGAAGAGTAGTGTTACTTGTAATGGGGCTACTAGCAGTGATCAAACGAAGAGCACGACGTACAAGGTTAGTGTTAAGGGGAGGTATACGTTGTTGAAGGGGTTTAATGGTGCGGTTGGTGGGCAGAGGGTTGCCGATAGTAAGAGTCAGTGTTAGATGCGTCGTGGGTGTCTCATCTGTAGCCGGTAGTGTAAAGCTCACTCAAGAGTGTAGCTACATCTCCCTAGTTTTTATTCGTTACTTAGTTGGATGGCATGTCTTGAATTCTGCAATATTTATCACAATGCAACAAACATCGATGTTTCACTTCATCAATCCTGCCTTTGTGTGAACATCATCATATACCCTCTTTAGCTATCACAACATTCTCGACATCGTTCTGTTCTCTCTACTGCATATCTTCATATCCTGCTATCTGAAGAAACTGGCCCTGGTCCCCTTTCACTTTCACCTTGGCAAATTCGGGCGCACCTTCACTTTCTCCCACTCTGCACTGACGTTACTACTGTCAAGTCGCACAGTGATAGCTGTCTCCCAGATTAGACTAGCTTGACGCGCGCTCCGCTTTGATAGAGACAATAGAAGAAACTTGATTACCTCTACGATGTCAAGACCCTTGCTGCTGAAGACACTTACCTCCTCATCCACAAGCCCATTTGCACATCACATCAGCGACATGCTTGACTTATTATCTTCATTAATCTTCACACCTCTGGCTAGTAAGACGCCGCCTCTGGACGTTTCGGACTTGACATCGTGCCTCCTCACCTCATATCCGCTCCAAAACACACCCTGGCGCGATCCATACTATCCCATACATGGCCACAGCCCACTGCGAGCCGAATACGTATTGCCTAATTCAAGGCCAGACGAGCGCAATGGTGAGGCGACAAGTCCCTCGACGTATCGCGACTCCTCCACACCACTCTCACAAGGGCCAACGTCGTCCTCAGCCAGCCACGACAGCTTGAAAGCTGAGCCTTGCGAACCGCTTGAAGTCGAGCAGGGTGATACAGGCTATCGAGGTCCAGCGGCCAATGTGGTAGCCAGCAGACTACCGCAGGTAGAGGCCGATAGGACGGACCAGCGTCGTGAGAATGAAGACATCCACCGCATACGAAGTATTTTGCACAAGAAGCGACAATGGGAAGATCGCATGGCGGTTCTGCTGGGTGAGAAGATGTTGGCAAATGACGTGAATCGACATCTGGGAGCCACGGAGGTGAAATATCTACCCGAAGACGAACACACAACGGGCAAAGGAACGATCGGTACCAACGGGCACCGAAGAATGCACGAATTCCTGCACAGTAAGGAGAAGAAGAGGAAACGAAGTGTTGAAGACATTGGAGATGAGGTCACGGATGATAAGGGTGCCAAGAGGACGCGGACAGTGCCTCGGGGCATATTGAAGATGCACACAGAGAAGAAAGATCGATTGTTAGCCAGCAGACATACCGGATGAACACGACGTGGACCTGGCATACAAGAGACAAGTCAGACGCAGACGGAGTACAGCGCAGTGAAACCACATGTCGCGCCTGCATGATCACCCCAATGTCACCCAAATACGCTACAACTTCAGTCTGGATCGACGAGTATTGGCAGATTCACCGCCTTGAGATGCCGATTATCCGCAAAGGGTGGAAAAGGAAGTTTGACTGCAAGATGGAACCAAGTGGAGATGAGTGGGTAATGGATCATGGGGCAGGGAGCATGGGCCCCCATCGCCAAGATGCGGGGAGAGCTCCTCCCCAACACAGCCGGAGCCATGCAAGGTACCACAGCTGCTGTAGCGTGCTGTTGACGTTGTCGACATTCCCACACCGCCTCGAACGAGTTCCAATCCCCATCTCCAGCCTCATCCACCATGGGAGGAGAATCGCACCGCAACATGCCCGTGCCCGTGGCCAAAGACTACCCACAGCTGGCGGCTGGTCCCGTTGGCAAGCAGATCCACAGCATCTACCAGAGCCGACTGAGGCAGTTCCTCGATGCAGGACAGTACAGGGAACAGAGTCTGATTGGGTAAGTCTTGAGCTTCACGCCTTCCTGCTCCTCTATTCCCAGCTCCAAGATGCTCATACGTCATGCAGCAAGCTCACAGAAGCTGTCGCGTCCGGTACCGACTGGGTGAAGCTCTCCGTCTACTCTCCCCCGAACCTCTCGCGCCCGCTCTTCAAGGAAGCCACCTCCCATGCTTTCCACCCCACCAAAGTCGGCGAGTCATTTGGCCCCAGCTGGTCGACCCACTGGTTCAAGGTCCAACTTACGGTGCCCAAGCACATGCTGGACAAGGAACATCTTGAATTCGTCTGGGACGCAAACAACGAGGGTCTGATTTGGACCGAAGATGGGCACACTGTCCATGGACTGACAGGTGGCGGCGAACGCACACAATGGATCCTGCCCAAGGAGTTTAGAGACGGCAAAGAGCATACCTTCTACATCGAGATGGCCTGCAACGGCATGTTCGGCAATGCCCCCGGCGGCGACTCGATTCAGCCACCAGACCCAGACAGGTACTACACGCTGCACACTGCTGAGGTTCAGGCGGTCAACCTGGAGGCGAGAGGGCTATACTTTGACTTCTGGGAGATTGGAGATGCCGCCCGCGAGTTCCCTGGGGACTCAACACAGGCCCATGATGCCCAGAAGGTCGGCAACCGCATCATCGACACTTTCATTGCGGGCAATGGAAGCCAAGAGAGCATCAAAGCCTGCCGCAAGATTGCGGCGGAGTATGTCGGTAAGGACGTAGACTCGCACAAAGTATACGAGACCGAACAGGAGGCTCTCGTTCACGGTATCGGCTACTGCCACATCGACACGTGTTGGCTCTGGCCATTCGACGAGACCAAGCGAAAGGTCAACCGATCCTGGTCGAACCAGTGTGACCTCATCGAGCGATACCCCGAGCTTCGCTTCTGCTGCTCGCAAGCGCAGCAATACAAGTGGCTCGAGCAGTACTACCCTTCCACATTTGATCGCGTTAAGAAGAAGGTCAAGGAAGGCAGCTTCCAGCCTATCGGTGGTAGTTGGGTCGAGCATGACACCAATCTTCCTGGCGGAGAGTCGCTTATCAGGCAATTCTTGTACGGCCAGCGCTACTTCGAGAGCAAGTTTGGCCAGCGGTGTCGCACTTTCTGGCTGCCGGACACTTTCGGATACTCGACGCAATTGCCGCAAATCTGTCGCATCTCGGGCATGACCAGATTTCTCACTCAGAAGCTAAGCTGGAACAACATCAACAACTTCCCACACACGACATTCAACTGGGTCGCATTGGACAACAGCCAGGTCATCTGCCACATGCCGCCATCTGAGACGTATACATGCGAAGCGAACTTCGGTGACGTCAAGCGCAGCGTCACACAGCACAAGTCGCTCGACCAAGACAAGTCATCGCTAATTGTTTTCGGTAAGGGAGACGGAGGCGGTGGTCCGACATGGCAGCACCTTGAGAAACTCAGGCGATGCCGTGGTATCAGCGACACTGCTGGTCTGTTGCCTCGCGTCAAGCTAGGCGACTCAGCAGACGACTTCTTCGACCGCCTGGAGAAGAAGGTCGAGAATGGTACTGAGCTCGTGACATGGTATGGCGAGCTGTACTTCGAGCTACACCGTGGTACATACACTACGCAATCGAACAACAAGCGCAATAACAGGAAGTCGGAAATAATGCTGAGGGACATTGAGTACCTGGCGACTTTGGCGACCATCAAGAACGGCTTCGGCAAGAAGAGCTCGTACAAGTACCCGAAGAAGGACATTGATGACATGTGGGAGAACGTGCTCTTGTGTCAATTCCACGACTGTCTACCTGGAAGTTCTATCGAGATGTGCTACGACGACTCCGATCGGGTATGTTGCTAATCTCCAAACTTGACTTCATGACTGACTTTCTTAGATTTACGCCGAAGTGTTTGCTACTGGAGAGAGGCTGCTTTCCGACGCCCTTGCTGAACTTGGCTTTAACGATGAGACTAGCTGGGATCAAGACACCAAGCTATTCGCGATAAACACCTTACCATGGAGCCGTACCGAAATCATCAAGTTGCCGAGCGAGGCAAGTCGAACGAAGTATAGTCCTCCAGGGGCAGAGTACGGTCTCGCTCATCGTAACGGATCTCAGAAGGGTTTGGGCGCTCTTGACATGTTCCCACTCCACTCTGCGTACCCTGCTCAGAAGGCGACCATTGAGGAGATTCATCCCAATGTTTACGAACTCCGCAACTCGCAATTCGTTGTACAGGTCAACAACGGTGCCATAACCTCGCTCTTCGATATTGCCGCCGATCGCGAATTGATCCCCAAGGGTGCCAAAGCCGGTCAGCTTGTAATTTACGACGATAAGCCACTTTACTGGCAAGCCTGGGATGTCGAAGTCTACCACCTTCAGTCCCGGCAGGAACTCGAGCCCAGCAAGGTGACCATTGCGGAGAACAGCGTTCACCGTGTGAGCCTGGTGATTGAGACGAAGGTCTCAGACAAGTCCTGGGTAAAGACGACCATGAGCCTGCCTGCAGCCGTAGGAAACACACCCAGTGCTATAGAGTTTGACGCAGAGATCGAATGGCACGAGACAATGAGGTTCCTCAAGGTCGAGTTCCCAGTCGACATTGTGAACACAGAAGCCAGCTACGAGACGCAGTTTGGTATCGTGCGCCGACCCACGCACTACAACACTACATGGGACATGGCCAAATTCGAGGTTTGCTGCCACAAGTGGGCCGATCTTTCCGAGGCTACCTACGGTGTCTCGATCCTGAACGACAGCAAGTACGGGTTCGCAGTCGCCGGAAACGTTATGCGTCTCTCCCTTCTCCGCTCTCCCAAGGCTCCCGACGCCCACGCCGATATGGGAAGCCACAAGACTCGCTACGCGATCTTCCCCCACAAGGGCGGTCTAGACGAACGCACAGTGCGCAAGGCCTTTGAGTTCAACAACCCTCTCAAGATCGTTGGCCGCCAGGGCCTGCACGCCCCGCCATCCGCCATGCACAGTGGTCTTCTGAACCCCTTCCACATCTACGGCGCACCCAACCTCGTGCTCGACACCATCAAGCGTGGCGAGGATGATGAAGATGTCAGCCGTGGTGAACTGCCGATCAAGAAGGGTCATTCGATTGTCCTACGCATCTACGACAGTCTGGGTGGAAAGAGCAAGGGCGTGCTTACCTGGGGTGACGTCGATGTGAAGAAGGTGATCAAGGTCAATGCGCTGGAAGACGAGGAGGGTGAGCCGCTGGACATAAGCGACATGAGGGTAGGAGCTGAAGAAGTGAAGGAGAAGGGTGTGCCAATCGAGGTTCGCGCATTCGAAGTGGCGAGTTACAAGCTGTTGTTGGCGTAGGTATGGTCAGGGTGAAACGGTTGAGGGGTAATGAGTAATGAGAGTATGTGGTATAACATGGACGGTCCTTCGAGCAGTTGGGGTCATCTTGGAATACTGTCCGGGCGTTGAGTATACATAGTTGGGCATCAAGCATAAGCAATATTACTTTTCGTAACCAGCACGGTCAACCTGCTTTTTGAGATCAAGGTGAAAACTGTGTCATTGTGTCCAAAACGCCTATGATGCCGTATCCCAAGCTCTATATCTCGATTGATGCCATCAATCTACCCTGACCCTAAAACGGGCCTAAAGCAAGCACTCGCTCGCCTTGCTGGAGTGCAGACCTAGTGGATGCGATCCAACTTGAGCCTGTTCCTGGCAATCTTGTCATCGACCGAATCGGTCTTGCCAGTGATGCGTGTAATGTGCGTGTTCTGGTTATCGACCTCCTCGCCCATCGCGCGACCGAGTTGGTTGAGGTTCTTGGCCATGCCATGAAGTTGGTCTGTTGAAAGAAATCTGTTAGAATGCACGCATCAATGGAATAGATGGGGAGTACGTACCCAAGTTGTTATCGATCTCGTTCTCCATCTCATCGTCCTCCTCGTCAGCCTCGAACTGGAACTTCGAGCGCGCAGCCAGCGAGCTCTTGTTGTTGCCTTGTGGGCCACCGCCTGTGGCTAGCTTACGCTGGGCTTCGTTTGCACGGGCTCCAGATTCCCACTTGGCCCGGTTGGTTTGTTCCCGGGTATCACGGTCGCGTGCGTGCTGGTCCATGGCTTGTTGCATTTGCTTCTCACGCTTGGAGTTGCCTGTGAAGGGGTTGGGGACGATGGAGAACATGCTTGCGTTGATGCCTGGAGACGGGTTAGTCATGGATGATACGTCTTGAGGGGTGCGTCCTTACGAGCCAGTTCCTTAGTCTGTCCATTTGCTCTGTCGCTCTGGATAGAGGCAAGGTCGAGGTTGCGTTCCGTGCTAGAAACGAGTTAGCTGTGTATTGACGTGTCCAGGTCTGTTTAACGTACTTATGAATACGCTCTCCCTGTGCTGCTAGTGTCCCTAGAGTTCCTCGACCGGTTTCCAAAGCCTGCTCAGCTAGACGGAGAGCGTTTCTTGTGCTCGCA